GGTCTGGTGTAAAATACAAAAGTAAACAGAAACTGTAAAACATTTAATTGAAAGCGATCAATTTCAGATGTATTTAATACTTTTTTAAACAACTGAAAAATATTAGTCTTTATTTTACTTTCATTTTCACTAGAAACCTCTCTGGTTCCGTTTTTAACCGGATTTAGGTGACGTCATGGTTAACGCTGCATTCCCATTGGTTGAATTCTAGGTTATCAGTGACGCGTTTGTCTGATAGTTCCGCCCATAAAGTGGACATCAAAACATTGGATCAGCTGAAAAACTGAGTTCTTTCTGGTTTGTTTGAATCCAGAATCATGATGAAGTCACTGTTTTTAGCGCGTCGGATGGGAATTGGTTCACAAGACTTGGCTGCAGGTAAATAACTAATATATTGAATAAGATCTTTTAAAGTTAATCTAAAATGAAATGATTTACAAATAACTGTTAATGCGTGGACGCTCCTGTTATTGGATTCTCGCATCTGGAAATACAGATATAAAAAATGTAGGGTAGTTGTTTTTTTTTATTTCAATCCACAGAAATAATCGTTTTTTTGTTGTTGTTTTTTTGTTTTGTTTTTTGTCTTAATGTACATTGGGTTGATTTTATTTGAAAACATTTTTTATATTCATAATAGTGCAATCTAAATATCTCAGTGGAAGGAAAAATGTCTTCATAATTTCTTCATTGTAGGACAGGTAGCATATTTTATGCCCCATATATGTTGTGACTTGAAACGTTCTGTTTTTGCTGTAAAAAAAAAATAAAAATCAATATCTATATATTATTACTGATAATAAAGAGAACAATCTTCTACAGTTAATTTGGTCGCTCAGCAGCTTAAAAGATGTTCACTCTTGTTTTACTTTCTGTTATTTGTTTGTTTCTTTTCTTTCTTTCTTTTTTTGTTTGGCTCTATCTCAGCTCAGTCTGGAAACTACCTTAATCTGGTAAAACCTGAACTCTGTCTTGCATGACTTCAACCTGCTATTTGTGCAGAATGCTTTCTTGATGATGTTGGCATCATAACAAAAATGTTATATTTACATATTTTGGACCTGTCAAAATGTATAAAACAATTATTCATAAGCTACCTTTGTTTGTAAAAGTAATACTTTTATTTTTGCACCACTTTAAACATACATCTATTATCTGACACGTTTGTCCCAATTGGGGTCGCAAGGGTTGCTGGTGCCTATCTCCAGTTGTCTACAGGCGAGAGGCAGGGTACACCCTGGAAAGGTCGCCAGTCCATCGCAGGGCAACACAGAGACAAATAGGACAAACAACCATTCACACACACTCACACCTAAGGGGACTGTAGAGAAGCAAGTTAACCTAACAGTCATGTTTTTGGACTGTGGGAGGAAGCCGGAGTACCCGGAGAGAACCCATGCATGCTCAGGGAGAACATGCAAACTCCATGCAGAAAGACCCCGGGCCGGGAAAAAATGTATATATATCACCTTTTACAATCACATTATCAGGTTATTACAATTTACAACATTTACATTGTTTCAGGCCATGAATGCAATTAATAATCCAAGTTAAAGTGAGACGCTGTAGATGAGCTAAAGGAGTGACTCTGGTCTCATTTTATATATATAATGAGACCAGAATAGATTTCTTTCACACTGAGATAATTTGATACATTAAAATGTTTAAATATGAATAGAAATTAAATAGCATTTAATTGTTTTCTCTCAAATACTTTTGACCAAAAAAACTTTATATTTAAATTTTGCTTTATATATTTTTAAACATATATCAAACAACTACTTGTTTGGATTTTCATAATTGTTTTAATAATGAGGCCTATTTATTACATAATATAGTTTTAAATATAGATTATTAGTTGTAAACAGAAACTAAATGTCTTAATAAAAGTGACGAATTTCAAGTTGGTAATAAATTGTATTATTATTCAGTTTGTTAGTAAAATATATATTATTAGGACTTTTGCTGATCAAACTATTTGATTGATGCTCAAATGAAATTTCTGAGTTGTTTTTTTTTTTGTTTATTGGGAGTTTTGCTGGATTGTACTTTGCTAAAACTATATTTTATTGCTAAGATTCAACTGAATATTGTTAATCTGGTGGAGTTATGGAGATATTTGCATTTTTAGCTCTTCAGCTTATAAATCATAGTGCTGTTAAAGTATTTAATCAAGACATAATATTTTTATTTCCCTAAATCTTTTCAGAATAATGTGATTACAGAGATGGATCTTCAATTTTGTACCCATTGTTTGTTTTTCGTGATTTAACTTATTTATTGTGGGAATAACAGCCTTTTCTTTGCCACAGTGACTCCTTCTCTGAAATACTCTACCTGCACCACATCACCTGAACTAACCACCTTTCCAGAGTTTGTGGAAGTTGAGTTGGTGGATGAGCAGCCAGTCTCCTACTATGATAGTGTCCTTAGGAAGAAGATCCCTAAACAGGACTGGATGGCAAAGAGTGAAGGTCCAGGTTCCTGGAAGAGAAGCAATCAGGCATTAATCACTGCTCAGAAAACCTTTAAAAACAACATTAATATCGCTAAACAGAACTTCAACCCCATTGGAGGTGAGTTATGAAAAATATCCCCAATNCTGCAAAATTATCATTTGAAAGTGCAACAACACTCACTGAGAAAAACACCACCATTCACACCATGGATTCTGATGGGAGTAAGAAAGGATTGTTAAGAGGAAGTTAAAACTTAAAATCAATTTCATTGTGCACCAAGATGCTTCACTTAATGGAGTAAACATTTTTGCTAATGATGTGGTTCACTGGGTCCTTATTGGATTTACAAATACATAGGAAATGATATTTTAACTTCATCATAAAACACTATGAAAGGACTAGACTGGTGAAGCCCTTTTCTTGCAAAGCATTAAAAATGTCAAAAACAAAAGTCACAACCCTAACATATTTCTTGCAAGAAGATAAGCATTAGTAAGTCTTTTTAAACACTTAATGTGTTTAAAAAGACTTACTAGGTGTGTTTAGAAATATCTCACAGTTTTTGCTTTCTTAAAATGATTTTCTATTTTAATCTGACCAGCTATAAATAATAAGCCAGATTAAGAATGACAATTGAACCTATTCTTTATTTTTCAGTGTGAGCCTTGAACGTATGAATATAAATCACTGTACTTTAATTAATGAATGACAGAATTAGAGAATGAATATGAAATAAAAATAACTAGAGCATTTAATTTTAATGACAATGAGGCCATTAGAAACTCACTGACCAAGTTCTATTTATCCCAAACTCTACCTGTAGGGGGAGGTATATCATTATTTATAATGCTGAGGGTGACCAGCATGAATTGGTCACATAAAATGACTATAAAAACAAAAACTAACTATAAATATGATAAAAGTTCAGATTTTATCAAACAGTCCAAAAAATTTGGCTCAGATAATTTAACTTTTTGGTCTGTTTTTATATTAATATTTTCTGGTTATGTCTTTCCAAGGCAATTAGAAATTGTTTGGACAAAAGTCAGCATGAGCTAAGAAACATTTCAGTTATTAGTTTATAATTTATTTCCAGCCAAGTATTACCGGAAAAAAATCTGTTAGTACAGATTAAATTTCTGCTAAGATAAATACCTAATTTTTGTTTAAGTTTATGTCTTGTTTTGAGGTCTGGTGTAAAATACAAAAGTAAACAGAAACTGTAGAAAAATGAATTGAAAGCGATCAATTTCAGATGTATTTAATACTTTTTTAAACAACTGAAAAATATTAGTCTTTATTTTACTTTCATTTTCACTAGAAACCTCTCTGGTTCCGTTTTTAACCGGATTTAGGTGACGTCATGGTTAACGCTGCATTCCCATTGGTTGAATTCTAGGTTATCAGTGACGCGTTTGTCTGATAGTTCCGCCCATAAAGTGGACATCAAAACATTGGATCAGCTGAAAAACTGAGTTCTTTCTGGTTTGTTTGAATCCAGAATCATGATGAAGTCACTGTTTTTAGCGCGTCGGATGGGAATTGGTTCACAAGACTTGGCTGCAGGTAAATAACTAATATATTGAATAAGATCTTTTAAAGTTAATCTAAAATGAAATGATTTACAAATAACTGTTAATGCGTGGACGCTCCTGTTATTGGATTCTCGCATCTGGAAATACAGATATAAAAAATGTAGGGTAGTTGTTTTTTTTTATTTCAATCCACAGAAATAATCGTTTTTTTGTTGTTGTTTTTTTGTTTTGTTTTTTGTCTTAATGTACATTGGGTTGATTTTATTTGAAAACATTTTTTATATTCATAATAGTGCAATCTAAATATCTCAGTGGAAGGAAAAATGTCTTCATAATTTCTTCATTGTAGGACAGGTAGCATATTTTATGCCCCATATATGTTGTGACTTGAAACGTTCTGTTTTTGCTGTAAAAAAAAAATAAAAATCAATATCTATATATTATTACTGATAATAAAGAGAACAATCTTCTACAGTTAATTTGGTCGCTCAGCAGCTTAAAAGATGTTCACTCTTGTTTTACTTTCTGTTATTTGTTTGTTTCTTTTCTTTCTTTCTTTTTTTGTTTGGCTCTATCTCAGCTCAGTCTGGAAACTACCTTAATCTGGTAAAACCTGAACTCTGTCTTGCATGACTTCAACCTGCTATTTGTGCAGAATGCTTTCTTGATGATGTTGGCATCATAACAAAAATGTTATATTTACATATTTTGGACCTGTCAAAATGTATAAAACAATTATTCATAAGCTACCTTTGTTTGTAAAAGTAATACTTTTATTTTTGCACCACTTTAAACATACATCTATTATCTGACACGTTTGTCCCAATTGGGGTCGCAAGGGTTGCTGGTGCCTATCTCCAGTTGTCTACAGGCGAGAGGCAGGGTACACCCTGGAAAGGTCGCCAGTCCATCGCAGGGCAACACAGAGACAAATAGGACAAACAACCATTCACACACACTCACACCTAAGGGGACTGTAGAGAAGCAAGTTAACCTAACAGTCATGTTTTTGGACTGTGGGAGGAAGCCGGAGTACCCGGAGAGAACCCATGCATGCTCAGGGAGAACATGCAAACTCCATGCAGAAAGACCCCGGGCCGGGAAAAAATGTATATATATCACCTTTTACAATCACATTATCAGGTTATTACAATTTACAACATTTACATTGTTTCAGGCCATGAATGCAATTAATAATCCAAGTTAAAGTGAGACGCTGTAGATTATATACTATATATATAGT